CGCCAGAGCATTCAGGATCCTTCTAGAAGTTCATGACGTGTCACTAGCGTCACGTGACCCCCACTGTCGTAACAGAAGTATTAAGGATAAGCTACAGACGCCACATCAAAACTGACCAGTTGGGCTGGATGTTGAGAAACAGAAGATTTTGCTGAGTTTTGGTATTGAAAGAAAGCTTTTTAAGCAGTGACTTGCAGCAGAAAAAACTAAAAACACAGATTTCAAATAATACTGTTACACACCTCCGATTTTGAACTGCAGTGGACAAAGTAAGAGGAATACCTACAGTTAACTTGCTTTTTACAACAAGAAACTTTCAAGTGTAATATACACCGTTAATGGATAAACAATCCATTTCATCCATAAAAGAATGTAGAAACATGAGTTCATCTACTGAAGAGTACAGTAGTGAAGCAAAATCAAACATTCGTGGTAAATAACTGGTAAAACCATGTTCAGAGATTACATTATAATATGAAACCGTCAGTCAGAATTAGAAAATGTTAAACAACTAAACCTATTTAGGACTTAGAGGATAGTGAAAAGGGCGAGACAGTACACACAAAATATGAAAAGCAAAGAAATATAACACACACACAAAAAAGAGCTTTGCACGACATGTCCAGAATGGAAAAAAGGAAAAAGAACTAATGAGTCCGAAAAAAGCATATAAAACTGTTACTTCAACTCTGATAACAACAAACAATCAGTTGAAACCCCCCAAAACAGCAGTTTTTAGTGCCAAAAACACAAAAAAAGCCCAGAAGAACGTGGTTGTTTGTAGTTTAGCACAAAGCTACACAATAAATGAAATTTGCTGTGCATACCACTAGCATCATAATGAAACAAAATGATGGCCATAAAAATCGCCCGTTTAAAACCAACTTTAAAATGTCTGAATGTTATTGGCTGAGCAAAACTAAAGCTTATTGTACTTATAAAGCCGCCTAGATAACTATATTTGTGTTTATAGAGTGAATAAAAATTTCCCTCTTTCAACGAAATGCCGTCTAAGTAAGTAAATTATTTACCTAACAAATGTACAGAAAAAGAAAAAAAAAACGAATATTATCGCTCGAATTCTTTGACAGAACTCTTCTGTGTGGGGTCCCAGTGATTCATTTCTTGTACCGAAAAGGATATTAGTATATATATATACATTTAAAACGGATTATGCGCTACTCTGGGCGTGTGATTAAATTTTAGAGTAGTTTGATAAAGATCCCGATGAGTAATAAAATCAAATCGAGTCCAACGTTTAGTATTGCTGGCACACAAAGATATAGCTAATAAAAAAGAAAACAACAAGTATAGATTTTTTTTTTTTATTTTATAAAGACAAATAGAGATCGATATATATATAACCTTGCTAACTGTAGTAATATAGAAAGTTCTAATGCTACAAAAGGTATTGAAACAAGAAAGTCAAAAGTACAAATCTGAGTTACTTAAAGTTTCGTATTGAGTTTACTTACTGATTAAGTATATTCTATTACAATTTACAGTTTTTATAGTAAGTAAGATTAGTGCGTACCTGTTCTAAAAACTAATCTTACTTACTGTAACAGCTGTAAATTATTCTAAAATGAGTTACTTGAAGTTTAAAAACAAGTATCTCTAATTTGGTTCAGTTTGCTTGTAATTAAGCACAAAGCTACACAATGGACTATCTGAACTCTGCTCATGGGTATCGAAGCCCGGTTTCTAGCGTTAAAAGACCGCAGACATAAGGCTGTGCCTCTGGGAACAGAATTACCGCGATTTTTCAAAGTAGGGGTAATTTAAAAAAAATATTTAACGCAGCTTTATAGTTTTGATTTTATTGTTTCAATACTTTTATTGTAGCATTAAACTTTCTATATTACATGTATATCAATCCATACTTGTCTTTATAAAATTAATTTGTTTTTTATTATACTTTTTAATATTCGTTGATGACCAACAGGTTTAGTTATTTTAATAATTTTTCTGTAAACATAACAGTGCCCTCATGTAGTCAAATAGTCAATGACACGTCAGACTTTCAAAAAAGTTCCCGGATGAGCATATGTTGTAGTTATCAGTCGAATGGGAGAAGTAAACATTACGTATAACTAGGAATTCGGGTTTGGGTACGTGTACGCTATAAGTTAATTAAGAATAATTGATATTCAAATTATAGTATTTCTTGATATTAGTGTATGTTCTATAGAGAATGAGATATAAAGTTAAAATATTAATTACGCCCACATGAAAGATAAAGTCACTCTAATTGTTAATGATCAGTTATGAGACTTGTTATCCTACGCTACAGTGGTACTGGTAGAAAATGGGTTAGGCTTATTTTCATTGGCTTACGCCTAACCCTTGTAGTTGTACAATGGCATTCAGCAGCTTAGTTTATCGTTAATTTATGCGTATAATAGTATTTATGTATATTTTAAAGTATGAATGGAATGATTTGTTATTAATTTATGCATATTACTCTAATGATAAGACTATGAAGCAATTAATAAAAATCTGACTCCGTGACTGTGACCGAGTTTGAGCTGTGCAGCTCAGCAAATGCTACGTGTACGAATTTTCGTATTTTGGAAATTTCTAAAATTGAAAGTGTATTGAAACTATAGCTTATAACTATAAGCGTATTTTGTTAAGTAATGAAATCTGAACTGGAATTTAAAATTAAGGCCAAATAATATCACATTAAATTTATTTGTAGTTCAATTTTTGCCACACTAAAATCTTTTGCATAAAACTTGAGTTTTTTTGTTTTTTTTAATACATTTGAAAAGTAAGGATTATATGCATATC